TTATACAGAATTATATAATGTATCATGCAACATAATGTTGTATTATGCAAAGCCAAAAAAACTTGCATTCACACATCTCTATTCATGACTATATGCTTTCTTCTTTATTTATATAATTAATGATCTACCACTCAACAGATGCATGATTATAGTGTAACATGACACAGATCACTATATAAATCTAATATAGGCTAAATGTGAAAAATTTCTAACATTCATTTAAGGAAAAGTTTTTTTATACTAAGTTAATTGACAAAGTCAATTAGTTGAAAGTTGTAGAACATGTCATTGTGGTTCTAATAGTGGTTAAATCATCCAAATCGGCCTAGTGAATGTTGAAATATCTTTAGAAAATGCATCAACGACTATATAAGATCTCTATATAAATAATACATTATTTATATAGAGATTTTATATAGTCATTGACACATTTTTTAAAGATATCTCATTATCCACTAAACTGATTTGGATGATTTAACCACTATTAGAACTGTACTGATGTGCTCTACAACTTTTAATTAATCGACTTTGTCGATTAACTTAGTATAAAAAAAGTATTTCTTGAATGAATATTAGAAATTTTTCATATTTACCCTATATTGGATTTATATAGTGATCTGTGTCATGTTACATTATAATCATGCATGGCAGATCATCAAATAAAAAAGAAAACATATAATCATAAAGACAAAAATACTTATATCTCACAATCTACTGGGCTAATTTTAATGTTTTAACTGCCATTTTGATTGCAAAACTCTCCTCTACAACCTTAATTAGAAGTTGAAAAAGGTTTATATAGTAAAGAAAACCGTTTTAGTTGAAAATCTCCAAATTTAAAAATTTACTATTTAAACTCAAACAGTTTGACAAGCTTCAAATCAAACCCAGATCAAACTCAAATTTAACTAAAAAGTTTGACAAATCAAAAAAAACTTTAATGCTTCAAACTCAAATCAAACTCAAACTTGGTTAAAGTTTGATTTGAGTTTGATTTGTAGGAACCCTATCACAAATTAAAAATATACTTTTTAATAAAATTTTAAAATTAAATAACTTCCTATATATTGCTTTAATTTTAATAAAACCTTGCAATCAAAAACAACCAACTTATATTTATAATTTTATTAAAAATTAAAATAATTTATTTAAAAAAAATTTTTTTTAAATACTAAATCTATTTTATAAATAACTAGTAAACAATATAAAACTAGCTTAATCTAAATTTTTAAATTAAAAAAAATTTGTATAAAATTTTAAAAAATAGTTGAAGCTATCAAATTTAAAACATACAATTGTATTGATTTAAGATATATAAAAAATATATTTAACAAAGTAATTAATTTTAAAAATTAAGTGATAACAATTTTTAAAAAGATGTCATAATGTAGTACAAATACTACCAGTAGTATAGTATAATCATATTCATTAATTATAGACTAGCTTATTTTTGGATAAAAGAAATTTTTAGTTTTTTTAGTCAAAACAAAGAGAGCAGCTTATTTTCAGAAATCTATAGTAAGTAAATCAATTGATGTATTAAGAAAGCTGTTTGATATATTATACATATTCTGAAATTTTTATAAAATTTAGACAAACTATTATTAATTTATTTTTTCACTATATGTTGGACAAAAAAATTTTTTTTTATCTAATGTAAAGTAAAGAAGTGAACTAATAAACATTTGTCCAAATTATATAAAAATTTTAAAAAATGTGTAATTTATCATTCTGAACCACTTTACTTATTATATAAAAGTTTGATTTGCTTAATGCAATTTGGACATTTATATGTAGCAACTATTTGTAATTATAAAATATTTACTTTTATATAATTACATTATAATTATTTTATACATTATTGTGACTATATAGGATTTATGTTTTGTAATTCAATTATTATAAAATGCACCTATGGTGTTTAGTACCATATATAATTGTCTTTAATAAAATTTAAGGTTAGGGTGCATTTTTATGATTTTTTTTTTATATATTATGATACATATTAGATATATGGTTCTAATTTTAGTTTTTGTGAGGTTTTTGGGGGTTCTAAACATTTTTACTTAGAATACCCGATCCAGTACGTTTTTAAGAAACAGAGATCTATGGTGTTAAACACCATAGGTGCATTTTAGTAAACCCGTTATAATTACCCTCATTTATAATCACACTTTTGTGTCAAACAAACAGCATGATTATAGAGGAGGACTATATTTTCTATTTTCTTGCTTAGAACCCGAAAACATATATCAATCAAGATCACAGAGACAAGAGAGTTTTTGTTATAACTATTTACTTTATACCGACTTATTTATAACAAATTTATTTAAGAGGGACAACTACTAGAGCTAGCACTTTTACTCGAATTTTGAAGGCCAAAACTCAGCTGAGTTAACTTTACTGAAGAGATAAAGGTACTGCTTTTATACTTTTTCTTACATTTTGTCAACGTATTGACTATAACTAGCTAATTTACTAATATAGCTAAAAATTCAAAATATTCAAAAATATTCAATAAATTTAAAAAGTTCAAAAGTGCAAAAAGTGCACAGAGTTTGCGAATTTCCTGCTGAAACCTAAATCAGGTAAAGATATTTGCTTCTGAATTTGGGGCTTTTGTTAATCGCGTCTAATACTGTTGTTGAGTCTTACCATATAGGGTACAAAAGGAATAATATAAAATAATATAATAAGAAAAAATAAGAATAATAAAAGTAAAAAAAAAATAAAAAATAAAAAAAATATCGGATCCAGGGGCCCTTCACATCGTACACTTTTTGCATTGGCCACCTTGGCATAGTGCTCCGAATAATCCAGATCCGACGTATTATCCAATCGAACTTAAAATCGGTTTGGGCCAAAAGGTTCTGATTACCTAATTTTAAGATTTGGGTCCAGCTTTTTCTTTTATATTGCACTATATATAAATTTCAAGTCGTTCATGATAAAATATTAGGCAATAAAATACTTCGGATTCAGTCGGTTTCGATACCTGCATGTTGATTCTCTCTTTTTTAGCCACGCAATACCTAGGTGCGCACGCACATCTCAAATCTGTGCCAGGTTATGTCGATCACTGAATCGAAAAAGCATCAAGAGCAGATTTTAATTTACTTTATATTTGATATTTAGGTACGCTCATATAACTAAAATTTCGTGCTGAAAACTTTTATTTAAAAGTCAAACTACGGTTATCATAGTAATCTTGAGTTATTCATTGAGAAAACAGAAAAATCATGATTTTACTATGATAACCGTAGTTTGACTTCTAAACAAAAGTTTTCAGAACGAAATTTTAGTTATATGAGTGTACCTAAATATCAAATATAAAGTAAATTAAAATCTGCTCTTGATGCTTTTTCGATTCGGTGCTCGACATAACTTGAGATGTGCGGTGCGCACATTTAATTGAGCATTTATGTATTTAGAAATTTAGGGTTAGGGTTAGGGTTTAGAATTATATTTAAATAAAAATAGATATTTAGTGCTAGAAATGTAGTAGTAAATGTATGAGCGCCTAGAGCCGCAGCGTGGTGGCACTACTCTAGTATCTTCTTCATGTTAATGAATTCATCCGAGCGAGAATAATCCTGAGAATCAAAATCCCGACAATCAAAAAAGTTTTCCTTGAGCAATTTTACTATATAATCGCCTAAACCTAACTTAGACGCTCACCCATCCTAACCTATGCACTCACATAACCTAACTTAAATGAACTTAATGATTTTTGTTGTTGGGATTTGTCGGGATTTTTTTGTCGCGATTCTATTTATCGTAGTATATATTTACAGTACTACGAAACCATTCCCATATGAATTCCATAGGGTTCTTTGATCGAACAATAATATTATCGTATTAGATTGAGTCATTTGAGTTACTAAAATTAAGGATTTTACAGCCGTTTTCATAAATTCTTGAAAATTTGGTAATGACCGAATCAATAAATTATCGAATCTGAATCAATAAGTACTAACTTTGGCTGGTATCAAAAATTTATCGAAAGCGTCGCAGAATTTATGAAAATAGCTATAATAGGTCTCGCAGTAATTATTGAGCAGAATCAGCTTTTTAATTTATTCGTCCAAAAAGTAAAGTCATAGAAAGCTATTTTTCTATAATAGTATTTAATAGAAGTTTATCTGTTTTTGCATTAGGTTTTAAGCAATTTACTGTAAATGAGATAATTTAGAGATAAATTTACTAAAATTTCTTCACATGGTTTGGTCTCTAATTAGTCCTAGTAAATTACCCAGAAATTAATGCAGAAAATTGATAAACTTCCATTAGAAATTAGTATATAAAAATGATTTTCTATAATTCTACTTAATATTCACCTAACCTAACTGTATTAATGCGAAATTAAGTTACAGTATAATTATAAGGATGAATATCTAATTTTAAATAACTGATTAATGCGAAATTATGATATGTTATAATGTGATCTTAACAGCTTACTTTTATAAAGTTCGATTAAATAAAATATGGAAATTTTTTTTTAATAAAATTCTAGCCAATCGTATATCCAATTATTATATTGAATTTTATAACAAGTGGGTACTGGAAAGTGACCTACTGGCTAGTTTTTTAAGTAAAAAATCGGGTGTAAATTAAAACTAATAAAACTGCATTATAGTTAGGGTTAGGATTAGAACAGTATAGCATCCGTTGGTAAAATTATAGATCGAAAAGGTTTTTTTTGTAAGTGGTTTCGTTTTACGTTATATCTAATCTCGAAATTCGATTGGTCAAAACTGCAGGAGAGGAACAATCTTTTGTGGAGTTGATTAAACTTTTTCAACATTATTGATCGAAAATTTCAAACTATATTTATTTTATTTCTTTTAACCCAATATTACATAATTTATGATAACTTATATAATATTAATTATCATACAAAAGTTACAAATATAAATATAATAATTGCGAAAATGTTTGTACAAAAAATAGTAATAAAATATTTGATTTATAGGAATATTATATAAATTTATCTACTAAATTTACGCTTTTATTTTTGACGCCATTTTTTCTTGATTTATTTCTGACTCCAATTTTTCTTGATTTATTTCCGACTCCACTTTTTCTTGATCTATAAAATCTTCGTTTATACTTCTGTTGCCATTTTCTTTCTTTCTTGACATATATGAAAAGCAAATAAATATAATGCATAGCAAACATATAAGACAGGATGTTATCAGTGCCATGAACGAAAAAAAGTCATAGATTACTATAGTTGAAGCATAAAATGCCTAGTTAAAAAAAAATATACATAAAAAAAAAGATATTTAAATAATTAATTTTAAATGGTAACATGCACAAATTATATTAATAAAAAACATGTCATTATGTGATTAATTTATATAAACAAAGATATCTATAGTATTTTTAATATTGCAAACTTTTCAAAAAGTTATATTAGAAACCGATATTAGAAAAATTATATGAATACTGCAAATTGATTTAATAATTTAATTTGCAAAGTTTAATGAAAAGTGATAATAATATTCGCATAATGACATGTTTTAATCAATATATTATAATAAAATACAGTATATTAACATACCATGATGATGATAAGTGGAATCTTCTTAATAAAAATCTCTATAAATGCTCTAATTTGAGCAAGAATTCTGAAGTGTCGAGCAAAAACACTTAAATGATCAATATATTCCAGTTTCCTAATATCCAGAATAGCAAAGTACTTTTCTAATGCGTTTTCCAAAATTACTAAGGATTCACTATCAACAATCATGAAGAAAATCAACGCGCTCTTCATTGTATGATTTTCATCTTCTTTCTTTAACAAATCTTTGCAAATATCCAATAATTTATTAGACTCTTCTTCCTCTGATTTGACAAAATTGTCATTCTTATAAGGTGATGCTGGTGTTATTGGTGTTATTGGTGATGTTGATGTTCTTGGCAATTTTTGTGATGTTGGTCTTCTTGATAATAATTGTGCTTTATTTGAATTATCGTTTAAAATTCCATTCAGTGTATTATTGCTGATTACTGTTACATCTTCATAAAATTTATCTTTCATTTGATCAAAAGTTTTTGGGATTATTATGTTAAGATTTTCAACTTTATGTATCTCGTCAAGAAACCTTTTAATCAGATCAGAAATTTCGTGAGTCTCATAAAATAACTCGGAAAATTTTGGTTGAATCTCTTCATAAACATCTTGTATCCTTTCAGAATTTTCTTCGCTTTTGTAATAACTTTTAAATTTTCGTCCAATTTTAAATTCAATTTCTTTTTTCATTTTACTGAAAATTCTTTCAAACATACGTTTTGAGATTTTTTTTAATGCTTTATCAAAATTCTTTGCATTAATTTCAGCTAGAATTTTTTTATAAATCTCATAATTTAGCAACTCAAAATAATTTTCTAGCAACATGGCAATAAGTTCATCCATTAGTAGAGAAATGAAAAATTCCTTTTGTATTATGTTAGTAAGTTTTCGATTAAATTCTTCAGCAGTTGTAATTTTTTTTTCCAAGTTATCCTCATCACCCAGGAATTCTTCATCTTTGCCATCTAAGATTTCTTTGTAATATTCTTCTATTTTAGCTTCTTCCGGAATTTCCAAACTTTCAGAAATTTTTTTAATTATTGAGTCACAAATATCATGCACCTCTTTATCAGTCTTTTCTTGTATTTTATTAGAAATCTTTCTTACACCCTTTGAATTTTCCTTTAAACTTTCGCGCATTTTAGATTCAGAGTTTTCTGCTATCTCGTCAAGGTTTTCTTTTTCAAAAGTTTCATTAAATTTACTCCTAAAAATTTTTGTAATTTCGACATTAAAACCACCAGAAATTTCCTTTTCTATCTTCTTCAAATCTTCTTGTAGAGGCCATGCTATACAGGTCAAAATGATAATGCCCATAACTCCATTTAAAGCTAATGGAATAACAAAGATTACGAAACTTTGATGCAGTAAAAAAAAAAAATTAATATTTGTTCTCCTTTAAGGTAATATTAAAGCACTTTAAGATTGATGAATAATACCTTGGTAAAGCAAGTTCTGGTTTACTTCTAGTACTTACAAAAACAAAGTAACATGTGAGAAGTAAATTAATGGCAATGAGTATAATACCCGAAACTGTATGAATTAATATAACATAATATTTGTCAGACTTCAAATATTTTGAATAGATTTCTATTTTGTCATATGTCGTAATGTATGAAAATACGAGTAATATAAGGACTATAAATGACACAATAATTTCGATTCGGTATTTATTCCAGAAGCCACCTAGAATAGAATTATTAAGTATTAATCATATAATTCTATAATAATGTTTTTATAACATAAACATTCAACTTACTATCCTCTTGAAAGCCATAATATTGATCTAAATCATTTAAAACACCATTTGAAAATGTTGTCATGACCTTATAATTAATCATAGTTTTTATGTTTGATGTTACATCACGAGCAGGATTTTCATCAATTGAAGATGACGGACTGACTTGAATCGAAAAAATAATTTGTTCAGTAGGTTGACCATAATTAATAAACTGAAATCTTTGGTTTGTTATTAGACGTTCGCGTCGCACTGGTACTTTACTAGCAATTTCAGTTAACATTTGATCAAAATATTTAGAGCGATTAGAAGATGATAGTGACAAGAATTTATCTTTGTCTTCCGGTTTTAGACCGACAGAACCAAAGACATAACTATCTACAATGACTATATATGAAATAATTTTTAGTTTATGTTGTGAATAATAATAAGTCTAAATATGCATGCAGATATGAAATAAAAAATACCTGAACTGGTATAACCTAAATTGTCGGTAGTTGTTAAAATATTTGAATTATTAGTAAAATTAAACTAAAGTAAGGCAGAAAAATAAAATAATAAAATCTTACTTGAAGTGAGGTTCCAAATTCCATCTTGAATTCCCGTTAGAGGCTCATTATAAACATAACTTTTAACGAAATTATTATCCATTAATATATAATAACTTCCACCGTATTGATTAAATGTACTACTAATGATTGTTAAAATAACGGTTTTTTTGTCTGGACTAATTTTACAATAATCACTCATTGTTGGTGAAATTTTCTGTCTAACATTATTATTAGAAGCCTGGAAAATAGTGACAAAACCGGCTGTCAAGTCGTCCGACAACTTAACAGTATCGAAAAAGACGATGTTTATATTCGCCGTTGATGAATTAACAGTGCTATTTATGGATGGAATAACTTGTTGTATCTGAAGATTACCGTAACCATAATCTAAATATGTATATATATAAATGTTATCATTAGAAAAAATATAGATATATTAAATAAGTAATAAAGATATAATAATAGAAACATACCACGATAAGCTAGAACTTTAGGTAACTGATTAGTGAAAAATGACCAAGAAGTGTTCAGATTATTTGTATATTGTGAAGCAAGCAGAAAATTATTACTAGGCAAAAGAGCATTTACACCAAAACTATTTGTAATATAAGGACCCTGTGATCCTATATTAACCGGTAAATTGAATTCGTCATAAGCATAAATATAATGGTAAGTATTTTTATCACTTTGATTATAATTTGTAGCATCCAATATATATCCACCAAATGGCATTGTTTTCACTCTCCAGCCATATTTAGGTATACCAGCTAGGTTAGGAAGGTTGGAAAGTACAGTTGTTGATTGCACTGATCCTGACGATAAGAAATAAACTCTTACATATTCTGTATCGACTGCTGTGTTGTTCGTAATGTTGGGATAGCTGACTGCAATTGTGCAAACATGACCAACACCAATAGATACTATATCGCAATAAACTCCCTTAATGGATGTATTTTGATGACTTAATTCATAGAGAGTAAAAATTCGATTTGCAAATGTTTGATTGTATGATATAAAATTAGCAGTTAGAGTGCAACGCACTGCTAATAATTTGTCAGTAGTATCATTTTTACAACTACCGTGAACAAAAGCATAACCACTATCAACAGTTGAAAATGACGTTGTGGTAGCGATTTCAGTCGAATTGATTGAAACGTTACCGGTTGCCAGTTTCAGCGGTGATAATATACCAGAACCATCTCTATATAAAGATACATTAAAATATATTAATTATAAAATAATAATTATTTATAAATGCTAAGAATTTTAAATTCAGAAATTACACTTTATATTGTTGCCATATGGTATATTGCAAATTGCCTTGATTTACAGAATTCAATCTAAGAAATCCAAGTTTCTTGTTTTTATTTTGCGTAATTGAATTCACTGGATTCCAATAACCAGCAGGATCAATATAAGACGGGCCAAAAAATGTTGAACTAGTAAATTTAAAATAATTAAAAAGTACGTAAATATTAAGTCGATATTAATTAATTTTTATAACATTCATGACAAAATTATTATCTCACCTTAGAATATTACCATTCCAATCAATAACATCCCCCCAATCCTCATAAGTTGTAAGATTTGATGAATTTGTAGTTCGTCCGTAAGTTACCAGAATAAACGGGTTTTGTAAAGGATATATTTTAATCGGATTTTTTAAAGTACCGCCTTTTGTAATTAAACAATAATTCACGGGATCCAATTTTAAATCGAGATTAATCTCGTTAACAGTTCCATTTAAATGAATAACTCTTATACGTAATATCTGTTCTAAACAATAGCCTTGTGTTTTTGTTGGATCATGTCGTATAATATGGACGAGTGTTGTTCCATCATCATAAGCTTCAATATTTACTATTTGAGGTTGCGCGTGAGGGAATAAGGTGCCCGATGTATTTTCAGTGTAGTTAAAAAATTGTGATTTCGTTGATATTATTAATAAGCAAAGAAATATCAAAAATGAATACAGCTTTATAAAATTATTTGAATTCATCGTGAATTACTTTAATATCAATTTGAACTTTTTTGCATATATTATTAAAAAAATGTTAACATTCAATCGAATAAATATGTTTTGAGATTATTTTTTTATGTCGTTTATTATAATTTATCTTTCGCAAACAATAAAGACCCTATATAGCAGGACTATCCCCTTTTTTTACTGATACGTATTACATAAATTGTGATATTTTTATACAATAATATTAATATGCATTTTCTTAGTTTATACAATATGTTCGGTCGCAAAATTTGAATCAAAAACAGGGGTGACTAATTTCTCCCCCGATTTTACTATCGGTATTGGAAATTTGATTAATGAATAATTAGCACAGCCAATCAAATTGTAAATCTATTATCGTTATTTTAACTGATAAAAAAAGTAAAATTTTATAAATGACAATTTTTACTACGTAACTTTAAATATGTAGAACATTGGAAATACAATAAATTTGATAGAGCTAATAATATTTATTTTTATTGTTAATTTTAAAATTTATATTAGATTTTTTTAAATTCTAAATTTACTAAACGGGTATACGTATAATTTTATAATTTGCAAATTCATGTAACATACCAATGCTTATTGTAAAGGGATTGGGCGAGGGCTTTTTATAATGGATGCTGATACACTACAGACGACCTATGGGTGTTAGAAACTTTGAAGTGCTCATTAATTCGATATACAATGCAAGAAATCTAAAACCATCATTCTTTTCTATAGAAGCAATAACTGTATATGTGCACGCAATGCAAGAAATCTAAAGTTATTCTTTTCCCGCACCAATTCCATAGAAAGAATCTAAACAGTTACTCTTCCCACACTAATCCCGCAGAAGAGATAAAAATTTCAATAAAAGTTATAGTCTTGTTTTAAATGCTTCTATCTATATTTCGTCGTCGGCATGCAGCAGATCGTTTCCAATAAAGTATATGATTGGGCGTCTTATCATAATCCGCCACATTTCCCTTTTGATATAAACAGAAAAGGATTTTGATTTCATAGATGCATGCATTACTACTGTACTATGTAAACTTTATTCTGAAATTATGTACGTACGTATGTACGTACACTACACTAAAAATACATGATTTTTAGATTCCTGATTATAGCTATGCTTCCATGATTAGATGATGCATTCACTAAATATATGTAAAACTATATACTGTACTTGCTTTCGTTGATTTTTTTTTTTTCCAACGCACTATTGTATTCACTTTTGTTTTAATTTTTTTGCAGCATTTGCAGTTTTCGTTCTTTTTTTCGTCTTCTTCTTTTTGAAGTTGTCATTTCATCGTTCTTGGAGTCACCTTTAAAGCCGCATTTTTGAATCAATGTAGTATATCCTATATAAATCAAAATTCTTCACATCAAATACAGAACATAACCATACTAATACTTATCATTGGCGGTAATAGTATTATTTATTTGGCAAATCAATACGGTAACGGCATGTGCCGTATTATTTGCCATAATTTCTTTAAACTGTAATGCTAATCATTACGACCGTTATGTCGAAATACCGTAAAACTATTGTATTTAATATTATTTTTCAAAGAGTTTGGCTGTCTTAAATTGTTTCTTCGTTTAACTTTATTTCCTCCTCCTCCATCTCTTGAGTTCCCCCCCAAAAAATATTAACAAATAGAAGCGACAGATTGATTGATATAATAACCAGCGTGGCCACCGGATTTTTTGGCACACCATGTTTAATTTTTATAATTTGTTTAATTCCCCCCATCTCTTGTATAAACAGAAAAAAATAACATTAAACGAAGTTTCAATTTCAAATAGCTTTATATTTAATGTTAACGCATTTCTAGTCAATTAGTGATATAGAATGTATAAATCATGTTTTTGTATCTTAACTACACTTTTCTAAATAAAAGGAATAGAGGAAAGACCTCTCTTTCAAAAAAAATAAAAAAAAAGCCAATTAGTGATTATTTTTTAGATGTAATTATAAATTCCTTAAACATTTATACATACAATCAAGATTGTAATAAACTAAATTGCATATCAT